AAGTTATTTTTCCGCCAAAAATTCGTTATCAGAAATTGCGGCCGTCGTTTCGCGTGCTGTTCCGCGATGAAAACCAGCTTTAAGCAACGGCGTAGTCGAACGGTGTAAGTAATCCTACAATTTTTTGTTTATAGCATAGTTTATACAGATTATTCCCAAAAAATTATACGTATTTTGGAAATGTTGAGTGGAATTAGTCTAGAATCGGTTAATTTTATAGAAGAAAACCTTTAGAACAGCCTTAGTCCGTAAAGTTCACACCTATCGGGCTGCGATTGGCTCATGTATTTAATCATTCCTACAACATAATTTTCGGTTAGCGTGGAACGTATCTAAGCGTTATAGGGGGGTCTACTGTATGGTTATATCTAAATTAATAGTTCTAAAAGCAAAGATCAGACAGAGGTCAAGGTGGCTTAACTGGCAACACATCCACAAAGTAAGTGGAGTTGCTGGTTCAAGTCTCACTTTGGTCCAATTCTGTTTTCCAGAAATTTCTAAATTGAAATTAACACAAGATGGCAGCATAGCAATGTACCTCTAAACAAATTAATTAGTTTCTAGTCATTAACTTAGTCATATAATAACCTGATAATTCAGCACTTCATTTGGTTTATTAGATTTTCTTTACATTTCATCTCATATATGTATGATTTCAATTAATAATACATCTTACATAATAAAATTGATTAATATTAAAACTTACAATATTTGCTGCTCGAACATGCATTTCATATTGATCTTGAGCAGTTTGTGTCATACGAAATAACTGACTATCTTCATCTTGACCAATTCGCGCTGATTTCACAATCTCTACAAAGTTGTCAACTAATGATTTAATATCATCTTTCAATCTTTTGTTGTATGATTTTAACAGGGCCTCTTTACTTTGTGGAAGTGCTTTCTGCTGTGACATGATTAAGAAAAATCTGTAATTAAAAAATTATATATATATTTAAGAATCTAAAACATAATTTCATAAATTATTTATTAAATATTATAAAAATTTTAAAAGCTACTCTCTTAATAAATCATTTCTAGAATGAATATATCTGTACTTTCTATTCAAGATATATTAATCCCCATAAAGTATGTTTTCTATTATCTTAAATTTTAAAATAAAGATTAACAATTAAAAACCTTCTTGACACTGATAGATTATATAAGATTTACAATTCATAACATAAATGTATATAAAAAAACAATAATTACATTGCTCAATAAGTATCAATAAAGAAATTTTTTAAATGATTAATTTAATAAAATGTTTAGGTTAAGCTAATACCATATTTCAGCACATACATGAGCATGGTCTTATATCCAAGTATAAGAGCATGCTCTTACAAATGCAGAAAAATTCAACACTATATTATGCAAAGTATCTAAAAAAGCTCACTACTTGTAATAAAACTTTTATTAGTATTGGAAGCATTTTTTAATTCTACTTTCTTGGCTGTTATGTATATGTTGCAACCAGAATGTTAATTTAGCTGCTACAAAGCATCTAGCTGTTTGATTAAACACCGCTGTTTTATAACAAAACTAACTAATGTTCAATTAGTTGTCTCCACATGCTGGGATGATATATAAATAACACTTACATTAAACCTGGTAACTGAAGTGGTTGTGTTATAGCAGTGTTTCTCAACGAGGGCAATATCTCCATATGTCAGTTGATTTAATCAACTGACAAAATTCATTACTAATCTCCATATGTCAGCTTTATGTTCTTTAATCCTTTTAAAAGGATTAAGTAACATAAAGCTGACATACAACATAACAGAACTACAATGGCTCTCTCAACGTATGCGACCAATCAGGACATCACAGTGGACTTTGATGTGGTGCACATTATCCTCACCACCACCCACCCCAAACATCTCAAATGGTTGAAGGCTATGGAGATATTTAGAGCAGGAAGCAACACCATGTGCATCAATTTTAAAGAAGAGATGACCCTTTCAACAATGTGGCAGATCCTGCTAGACAATAACGTTTAAAAAATTTTCCATCAACATTAGTATGGAGCACATGTGAATTATACAAAACATCACTTGTTTCATTTTTTAAATTTACTGGAACATTTGCACGTTTGGTGATTCGAATGCAAAACTTTTCAAAACAAAATATTTGATTCTCAACATATGGCTTATTATTTACACATAAAAGCCTGAAGAAGAGCCCAGAAGGGACTTCAAAAATGTTAGATATCCTATAATACAACCACTCCAGTTACCAAATTTAATGTAAGTGTTATTTATAACTAATGTTCAACCACTTTATAAAAAGGTTCAACAGAATCCCACCAGATTGAATGACATCTTATGTTCTACAATACAACTGGCCAAATGATTAGCCTCTTTACAATGTGGCATTAGATAAACTTCCAGATTGTCATATTTAATTCTGATTCTTACCACTTGAGGAGCAAAGAGGCATTCACCAATATGGCATCATCTAGTATGTTTGTTCTACCAGTAATATTGGATATTAGAACGAATAATGAAAGACTGCAAAATGTGTCTGAATATGACAGGTTTAAAGATAATTTCAACAAACAACTAATGGAGTTCTATGCAAAATAGCATGTAAATTTGAAGAAACCATGGGGTTAGAGAAAAACTTTTTAAGGTTATTAGACATAGGAAAAATGTTAAGCTGGCCATAGATTCTGATCCACAGTGGATGTCTATCAAATATTATTAGTGTTCAAAGTATAATGTCATAAATACAGCCAATGAAGATTATCTTGTTTTTAGGAAAAAGTTATCCGAGAATTCTATGGTACATATCATAACTAATGAACAGTATTTTGATATATTGACAGATTCATAAATCCTATGGACATGGTGGTTGTGACAAAATGGTATGGTGTTAAAAACAAGTTTAAACACAAAAGAAACAGTTAAAATATTTGTTGCTTTATATCCTACCTGCGAAACCAAATGTAATACAGTAGTCACCACTGAACATAGACCAGGCCACAGTTAACATGTCATCCAATAAATAGGTTTAAAAAAGTATCTTTGATTCATTGCACGAATGTTTTACATAATTTAGAACAAATCTACAGTAATTAATCTTTATTTTTGCTAAATATCAACTTTATATCTTACAGGTTTAACAAGATTGAGCCAGTCAACAGACATCAAAACACAGACCACTGCATCACCGTGTCAATGAACATAGACCACTGTATGTTTAATATTTTGTTGCATCACCTTTGTGGTCAAAACACCTTCCATATGTTTCGGCATGCTGTTGACTAGGTGTTCACATTCATCTGCTGTTATGGAATTCCAGATAGTTAAGTTGGAAGCTTTTAGTCCTTCAACTGTCCGAGGGCTGTTTTTCACAGACATCTCTTCATAATGTTCCATACATTTTCAATTGGTGAAAGATCTGGGCTGTTGGATGGCCAAGGAAAAACTTCTATGTTCTTTTCTGCAAGCCACTGTTTTGTTTTTCTGCTTGTATGACATGTGGTCCCACCCTGCTGGAAAATGCAGGTTTTATTTGGATATAGCTTTGCTATGGACAGAAGTAAATACTGTTGTAGAATGTTAAATTAATGCATTGCTCTGAAGCAAGTGCTCCATCAACAAATGTCAACTGACCCATACCACTGGCAGTCATACATTCCCAAACCATGAAGCTGGCAGGAAACTTCACTGAGTGGTATAACAACAATAGCTCATTAGCCTGACTGGCAGATTGAATCACAGGTTTGCTTTTGTCTGTTGCTGATAATTCAAGGTTTCATTTTTCAGACCACTGAATTTCATGCTACTTTTGTTGAGACCAGGAAAGATGTTCTTTGGCTCACTGTATCCATTTCTTCTTTTGATTAGCAAAGGTTTTTCAAATGCTGCATAGAACTGGAAATGCATTTCTTGCAGTCTCCTGTGTGTTGTCAAAACAGATACATTCTTTCCAGTTATATCATTCCATATTATAGCCTAGTTACATTCAATATCTGTGGCATGGCAGTTGTTTTTTACAATTCTTTTAAAACTCCTATCATCAACTTTTGAAGTTTTCCACTGATGTCCAGCAGCTTTGTTAGGTATAACATGGCCACGGTTAGTGTAATAAACAATAATCTGGTACACTGTTATCTTGCTTAGTATTAGCTCTTTTCTAATAGCTCTCTCAGACATGTCACAACTTTGTTTAGCAATGATAGGATTCCTTAAATCTTCTGAAACAGCTTTTCCACAAGTCATTGTACACAAAATGCAAAGATTTGTAAATAAAACTAAAAAAGCACCTTATATCATTTACAGGATTACTGCAGGCTAAAGTGAGGCTAAAATAACCAGTTGTTTCAGAAATACTGCAGTTGTAACATTATCTAAATGCAAATTATCAGCTGGTCTATGTTCATTGACATGGGTGATGTAGCAGTCTACGTTTTTTGATGCCTGTGACTCAAGTTTGACGGGTTCAATTTTGTTAAACTTGCAAAATATCAAGTTGATATTTAGCAAAAATAAAGATTAATTACTGTATATTTGTTTTAAATTATGTAAAACATTCATGCAATGAATCAAAGCAACTTTTTTTACACCTATTTATTGGATGACACGTTAACTGTGGCCTAGTCTAAGTTCAGCAGTGACTGCTGTATAACTAAAAAGAAAAGTATTGTAATCCAATCAATAGTTTAACGATTTTATGGAAATAAAAAAGTTGATTTAATTGATTTATAGTCAGCTTCAGATGGAGAGATAAAGGACTGTTAAACTATCAAGATAATAGAGAGGTTGCAGCCAACGTTTTCATTGCAAAAACGTGAACATCGGACGTTCGACACCGCCTTCCCGTAAGCCTAGAAGTTTCCAATGCCATTCGGAACGTCAAGGACGATTCCACCGACGTTCCAAATGCCATCGTCAAGCTTCTAGGCTTACGGGAAGGTGCCGCCGAAAGTCCGACGGCCACGTTTCGGCGACGGAATCGTCGGCCGCAACCTCTCTAACGCTACTAAATACTTACACCTTAAACCACTTTAATCAAAGCGGGAGTCCTAAGTAGCCGTAAAATTGTTAAAATTTTTTTTCAATTTGGAACTCCATATATCCTAGAGCGACGGCGACGGGGAGTTCTCCGTAAAATTCCTCGAAGAATTTGCAAATATGTGGCCAGAACGGAAAATTACGCACGGCAGTCCTCGACGTCCGCAAACGCAACATGAAATGCAGTAACAAAGACATCGAAAATACGCTCATATCTCGGATGCGCGACAATAATTCGACAAAACAATCTATTAAATGCTATTTTGCGCAACATCAAAAAAACAGACCGTATTGTCCGAACGTCGGCAAATCACTTCATCGACCTCGTTCGACCCAAAACCGGTCTACAAAGTTCCGACATTCCGGACGGTATTCTCTCCCCCGTCAAATCCAAGGAGGAGCTAGAAAACCCACCGACGACGATCGAAAAGTCGTAAAAGACACGAAAAATATTCGACACGACATTTCACAAGAGACGTGGCACAGTTCCGACAATTCGATTTGCAAAAATACCTTTCCCAACACAAAAAAACCACAGAAAATAACAAAAATTTAACACCCGACCCAAACTCTCCACGGAGACGGTTAACAACACCGCTGAGAAACTTTCCCTATTAGACATTTAAAAAAATTTTTCTTAACGTACCAATAATATTATGGGAAAAATAATCGATTTTGGAAACGGAGTTCATAAGGTAGGGACTAAATCCAGAATAATTAAAAATGGGTTCCGTCGTTACGAATTACGAGAGTCGTCGAATGACCGTAACGACGAAATACAGTCGACCCCCCCTATAACGTAGCGAAAAAATTGTAGAAACTTTCATATAACGTACCTCCTATAACGTCGTTTCGCGAGAAGATTGATAGAGTCTGGACCAATAGTGGATGAGCAGCCGAACTACTTTCCT